GGGATCGGGACGGTGACCGCAGGAGAGAGAGAGGTAAACTGCCCAACATAGTTCCTATAGTCTTTTAAGCATTTAAATTAACATGCCAGCTGCTTTCCTATTGTAGTTTTTATAATGCCCATTAAATTAGGGAGCCCTGTTTGTATAATGCCATCCTGATTGTTTTCGACCCTCAGGGTTGGGAATAGCAGGCTGTCCTTAAGGGCTGTTACTTGCAACATAGCTGCTTTGCTTGAGTGTGTGGTCCTCATTTTATTATGAAACTGGGAAATAAAGGTGATAATGGGGAATATGCCTAAGAAACCAGAATCTGCAGTAGTGTCGATGATAGGGAAAGGACAGAGCTATGGAGCAAGGCTGGACATAAAATCCAGTGCGGGCTTTGCTCAGTGTCGTTTAACTTTTATAGGTTATAGACTTGCAACTATTAAATAGCTAATCACTATGGACTTGTAACTATTCTTTTTTGAATTTTTGCAGGAAAATAACTGTTACTGTGAGTTTGAAACTTTCTAGCCAGTAACTATTTTTTCCCCTTGAAAGAATGGGGATATGTGAGTGTCAGGAGTCCATGGATCGCATTAGAGCAGTGCAGGTTGCACCTGTGAGTGAGTGCGTGGGGAGGCTTGTCGTTTCTCTAGGGTGAAGATGGGTGGAAGTTGGGACAGGACACATGTTTTCTAAGCTCTGCGTGTGACTCTTGACAGATGAACGGGATAGAAGCAGGCACAGCAGCAGGTCGGAGCGAGACGGAGCGTCGGAGCGCAGCAGAAGGGGTGAACCGGAGAGCCCGCGGCACCGGCCCAAAGGTAGACGGGCCTGTTGCTGGTGGTGGTGTGTGAGGGGTCAGGTACATAAAGAGTGGAGCGAGCGACTGCTGTCCTCAGTGGTTTGCTGTCGGCAGAGTCCGAATTCCTAATTCTCCCATGAACTTCTTGGAATACTTGGTCCTGATCCAGGTGGGAAGGCCCTGGACCTCACTGTCGAGATGGATATGCTCCTATAAGGTGATAGGCTGGTTTACTGAATGGTCACTTTTCCAAATGGCAGAAAAAAATAGCTGGGGAGCAGAAGAAGGATTTATTAAAAAGAATTCTTTATATGTAAGAGGGATATGTTTACAGAGATAAATTGAGTATTCCTTGAAGTGTTATAAAACAGACAAAAACTGAGCATTAAAATTTAGGTATCTTTAAAAACTGTCAGAACCATCTTATCCATTCAAATAGGTACAAAGTTTGTAAGCAATGAAATAAATTTGGGGAATTGACTTTAGGCTAATAGTCCTGGTTAAATTAGATGTCACCTGTGGATGTGTCTTTTGCGGCCCCAGATGCAGCCACCCCTTCAAGGTCTACCTGGGAGGAAGAGGACAGTGGCTATGGCTCCTCAAGGCGCTCGCAGTGGGAGTCGCCCTCCCCAACGCCTTCCTATCGGGATTCTGAGCGGAGTCATCGGCCATCCAGTCGAGATCGGGATAGGTGATGTTCTGGGCAGTGCAGCCCAGTTTTTCTCGGTGGGTGGCATGGGTGGATGTGATGAGGGCAAAGAGATCGGGGCCACTAGAACAGATGGCAGCTGCGGAACATACCAGCTTAGTGACTATTTGGTGATGCTGGTTATACTGATTCCCAGGTCTGTGAGGAGCAGATACTCAGATGACACACCTCTGCCAACTCCATCCTACAAATACAATGAGTGGGCCGATGACA